ATTCATCTTTTTACAACACTTGGAAAATAATAGGGTAAAATAATTAATTTACACTTTAATCGTCCAGTTTTTACATTCAATCGAGCCTACCCAAGCCTTTCCATTCCTCAGCTAGGGTAGGCTCGCGCCTACCCAGGCCTAATGGCTCCGCCGCCTATGTATACAGTAAAAACTTCAAGCCAAATTGATATATTTCTGTTGAGATAAGAATGTCACAACAAAAATCACAAAAAATGTGCTTTTTTTGACGATAGTACTCTCAGAAAAAATTAAATATCTCGGGAACGAAGCAATATTTTTCCAAACGGCTTGCTTCAAAATTCTTAAAACTATTCTTTCTACAATATATATATGAAATTGAGCAAAACCTGATGAGATCGATTGAGTACTTTCTTTAGAAAGTGACCGTGGTTTCTATAGACTGACTTCTATATACCTATATTCTCAATATCTTAAAATTTGAATAACTCGATCTAGACTAGCCATCAGTATCTCATATTTTTAATTTTGTAGTTTCTCGTTGAGGCTGATAATTTGACCCGAACATAGTCAAGCGATTCATCTGACATGACAAATAGTTCCATTCTAAGTATATCATTTTGAAACTTATAACAATGAACTTACTATGCTGTCTAAATTCAATTGCATAAATAATTATCACTCGAATTACTCGAAGTTGGCTGATATTTATTTCAAAACGACTTAGAACACTCGATGCAAACTATGAGACTCGTAGTCTTAAGATCTGCGTTCGGAAAATAGTTAGCAGCTTTATAATTTGGACAAGTAGCATGTTAAAATAGTTTGTTACAGATGCAGCAACGAATCTGCAGTCGTTGAGTATATTTGCTATCTCGCCAAATGTTTGACGATTGGCAATGAGGGCAGTTTAAGTGCTGGAAAACCGTATGACACTTATGACATGTGACTTGGTAGCCTGGTGTGCGATTGGCGTCTTTCCAGATGAGAGGTTCAGAACAGTCAGGACAGTTAATGTGTTAATAGCATTTCTTGCAGTTGTGACATGTTACCGTCAAATCTGGCTTACGGTCTGCGTTTTTCCATACATTAGGTTGCAAGCAATATGGGCAGTTTATGTGCTGATATTGTTTCTTACAGCTCCAGCATGTTGTCCTCAAACCTGTTTTCATATTAGCATCTTTCCAATAATTCAATTCTGAATAATGTGGGCAATTGATAGCCTGGTAAGTCTTTTCACACTTAGAGCATGTATAGCGCAAACCAGCTTTATAATGATCGTTTTTGAAGTATTGGATCGCTGATCAATGCGGGTAGTTGAGAGAGCGATACACACCTTGACATGAACTGCAAGTGGTCAATAAGCCACCAATGTGCTTGGCGGTGCGCCAAAATGACGCTTGATGGCAGTGAGGATAGTTGAGGTGTTGAAAGACGTTATCACAGAACGCACAAGTCACTCTTGTTCCTGCACAATAGTTATTGTTCCTCCATATGTTGGATTTGTGACAATGAGGACAGATGACTTCATTAAAGGTTTCCTTAGAACTATAACATGTATTTTGTCCATTTGGTCTATAGGAAGCCGAAAAAGTGAGCGTAGTTGAGCAATGAGGACAGGTAATCTTCTTTGCTGGTGATTCTAAAATTTATGGAAATTTTTCGACCGAATTATCTAGCTATGGAACTTATTCGCCTACCATAGTGAATTCTACTATTTCCTAATTTTCAAACAAAAATCTTCCACAAAATAAGAAAGTGGAGAAAAAAATTGTACTCTCTGATTTTTCAGCTTTTTCAACGACATCAAAAGATCGAATTATTTCATGTAGTCTTGAATACTATCGATGGTGAGTATAGTATTGCCAACCGTCTTATTTTCTATAGTTTAGATAGACTTTTAAGTGTTAAGTAGCTTCTTCAATCGAAGAAGTATCATTTTTCGAAAAAGCAAAGCGAAGCAACTTCGAGTTATTGTTTGGCAAAATAAAACGATTTGTTTTCTTTTTCGATTCGTTCTCGCTTATTCTTAAAATTGAAAAACAAAACTAACACAAAGCACTTTGGTCACCCATAAATTTTGATGACTGACTTTTGACAACGTGTACACAATTATTCCTGAATAAGGAAAAAGAGTACTTTCAAATGATAGTGTTTCAGTACTGTAGGTTATACTTCCAACCCCAAAACGTGATTCTGTTTGTGTAAAATTAGAGAAAGAATGAGAGCTTGCTGTTAGATTTTTTGTAGCAATACCTTGCGGACAATACCTGTTCAGACAACTATTCTGATTAGGAATGTGGCAACATCAGATTAGTTCTTTTCACCTGAGCAGAAATCGCTGATCAATTCGTTAGAATTAAACTAGAGCTAAGTACCAACTCTTTTTCAACAGTTTTCACAAATCAAAGGTTGTACTATCATACCCAAAATTCTAATCTTTTATGAAAGCCTCGGTGAATGCCACTATTGTTCTACAGCTATGAGTGATTTTATCCAACCTAATAGTGACCAAAAGAGTGTCGTTATGTTAAAGAAAATGTAGGCTAGGTGATCGTATATTCGATAGCGAAGTTCTGCTATCTAAAAAGTTTTCTATTAACTGTTGAATACTCACCAGAAGAGCTCTTTTTGATTGAGGCACATTTTGGTGTTAGAACTACGGAAGAACTTGTTGATTGTTTGTGCATTGATGATTTAGAAAAACTCAACGGCGTCATAGTCGGCGTCAATGAAGAAAACGTTTTGGCAGTAGCCGCTCGAGTTGGCGAAATGTGCGAAGGCATTATGACGATTTCTTTCAAATGCACCACGCGCATACCATTGATAGGTAGCGAATCGTCCATCGTCTGTAATTTAATTCCAAGCATAAGAAGAATTTCATTTTCATCGCCATGTTTTGAATACGCAGAAATCGCTTTGCCATTGACACATTCAATCATGAAGATTGTTCCCTTTCCCATCGTGGGAAGAAAGTTTTGAATTACACTGACGGATGTTGTTCAAGACGTGAATGACCACCAGTGAATCGTTCTACTCATTTTGTACTGTTTTGCAACGTCACCATATACACCGCACCATACACAACCATTGTATGGTGGTAACTTTTGCATACCGTTACAAAATAACTTGATATAGGAAAACCATGGGAGAGTGTTGACAGAGTTATTAGTGCGAAGATGTCGATTGACAGTACTGTAGACACTTCCGAAACCTGTTTCCATGGTGTACAAGTAAATTGCTGCTGATTCATCATGTGTCAACCCGTGGGGTGATTTATAACAATGATGCTATTCGGCAATAGCTATAGAATCTGCGAGATTGTTAACAAGATTAAGGAGAGGACGAGTAGCAAATTTTAATGATACAAAAGGTGAGTGCCAGTAAGCATCAATACCGAACTCTGTATTTATAGATGCATGCTGATCGATATATCGTGAAGGCAGCTTTAAAAAAAACGAATTTTTAATAACTTACGATGATGAGCAATTGGTATATGCTAATATATGCTTCGTACAGAGTGACGATAATACACCATAAAATGAGTTCAAAATGGAAAAGATTCACGCCTTCATGTTATGTTCTTGTTCTCAGGAAAACTCCAAGAGGCACTTGTGCAGAATAACCATTTGGATTAGAGGCGGGAAAGAGAGTTGGTATGAGTGTGGAGTGGTGAGATATAGATGTGTGGGAGTTGTGGGGTATGGATGAGGTGTAGACATGGTGTTGATGTAGACAGAAATGGATTCTACACTCACACCTACACCCTTGAACAGTATGGTATTGGGGAAAACATCGAATACAATATATTTTTACAATGTTCCGTTACCATGTTGTTGTCATTGAGGAGCTATGACTACCCTGAAAAAAATTACACTTTCAGAACGAAATAGACTGGTGATCATCACATAGACCATGCCATGCTGTTTCCAAAAGAAGTTTATGGGGAAAGGAGGCAGCCTAATCAATTACTCTTTCAAGTGTGGAGAAAGCGATCTTGCAAGTAAGAAGTACATCCTGTTGAAGAAAGGATCATGAACTCTTTGGAAAAAATGTTCTTTCCTAATAGAGACCGAAAAGAATGGAACGTTTTCAATTCAATTCATTCCACTTTCTCAAAATTTTAAATTAGGAGTGTATAACTCACGCTCATGCACATGTGTGTCTTCCCTGCGTTAAATAGGGACAGGAAGTTTCATTTACTCGTCAGTTGCGTTACTAGGTAGTTACTATCAGATAAAAAAAAAGTCCCAACCACCATTTTTTGAATAATTGTTGATTGTTTATACCCGTCGAAGTTGAGTTTTCGGCGTTAGATAGAACAATGTTGAAGACGTCTATCTAGGTAACATTCATTAAATTCGAAAAATGTTTTCAGAAATGTTTTCACGTGAATATTGCTTTCATCGTCCATTTCTACAAATTTTGGTAGCTACCAGGACTCAAATTAATCCAAAATATAGCCCGGAGAGTGCTGTATTCTCTATATGGTTGTTTAATTCTTTCATCGTCGCCCTGGACTCATGCTTCGAGAGAAGTGCTCTGAAATTTGAAATTTTTTTAAGTAATACAGCTCTCTTTGCCTTGCATTTTGGTGTAATTTGAGCCTAAATCAGTATGAGAGGCTGCAGAAGTGGGCGACGAAAAAATTTTCAATTGACAATGTCCGTAAAAAATTTCTTCGAATGTAATAAATGTTAAACAGATAAACGTCTCCAACATTGCTCTATCTCATGGTGAAAACCCGATGTCAATAGCTATAAGCGATCGAAAGTTATTTGAAAACTGGTAGTTAGCATTTATAACAAAATCCGACAATAGTAACAGAAGCTTTTCGAGAATATCAAACGAAAGGTAAATCTCTAAAACTAACAATTTTTTTAAAAAGTTTAACCAATACTAGTTAGGATCAATGCATTAGAATTTGTAATTAGTTTGCCGAAATTTAGAGTTTGATTTTTTTCGTCAGGTACGGGTATGAGTGGAAGTCCGTGTCAGTGTGATTATTGGCGAAGGAAACACTTACACCAACATCCACACCCAGACGCAGACCGGCATACATCGAATACTTTCGATTACTTACTTTTCAAACTTCTAAATTTTTTATGATTTCGTATGTTGTTTTCTGTTTATCTCTGTATTTATTCTCTTAGATTGACAAGAGTAGAGTCAATATTCGGTATAATGATATTGGTGGTAACTGTAAAACTCATAGCCTTTATGTTGTCGCTGTAATGGTTAAATATCATGATTTTTCTCTATATCATCATGTAAGCATTTTCGAGTATCACATTTACAAGCTTAATAAAAAAAGGCTTCGAACAGGTTCTGCTTCTTTAGCAACGCGCTCGAATGCTTCAGCTTCTTTTTTTTTTGAAAACGAGTTCTTACTCGTTCATTTTTATGAATTTTTTTTGCATGAGACATTGCAATGCCTTTTCTTTCTCGATTACAAAATATTGACCACGTAGCTAACAGCCTATAGATGATATTGACAGACATATGTTCAAATTTTATTGCAAAATACGAAAAAAAAAACATTGATGAATATTTTTATTGTTAAACATGGTCTGTCTGATAGACATACTGGACGACGACCGAAATCCTTGTTGTTTTTGGCGATAGTCAGCTATCTTTATACTTTTTTGTAAGTCTTATATTCGAATAAACCAATCGACAATAAGAGAATGTTTTTCACAGTGACTAATAGCGATGTTTCGATTTTTGAACATAAAAAACTTCTGTGATTGTTTAAAATTAAACAAAGAAGAAAGAAATAAGATAAGCTATCTGTATTATTTTGCTTTGATTTATTTACACAAACGTCCTTTGGCATTCTTGAGCAGCATATACAGAGACATTTGAGAAAAAACAACAAACGACTAGATGGTAATAATAATAAAAAAAGGAACTATAGAATGAACGTACAATTAAAACTACGATATAAAAAAAAAGAAACATGGAAATAATCTTGATGAGAAATTTGATCTAAAACTAACACACAACTGATAAGAGCCGGACCAGCTGGCATTTTCGTAAATGTGAAATATAAATTGCACAACGAGAAAGAAACATAATGTATCACTCGAAGTGTTCATTAGTAAATATTTGTGAAGTCTAGAAAAGAAAATTCTGAAAGATTTTAAGATAATTTCTAATTATTACTTTTAAAAAATGATATTTGACAGTAATTCTCAGGTAAATAATGAATAATTATCCATATAAATACAAGAATTAGAAGAATTATGGCATGAACACTAAAAGAATTAGAAATAAAATTTAAATAAATAAATAAAAAACAAATGATTACCGTGATTGAAGGAGATTTTTAACTGTCGATAGTAGATGAAGTATAATAGCAAATACAATTAATAGAATATTCACTAGTTTACTTATAAGTCGATGCGTATTTTCTTCTGTGTCAAATGCATGTGCTAGAGTTTGTTCAACTTTTGTAGTCTACAAAAAAAATTCGATCAATTTCATAATTGACAAGATTTTCTTTAAAAAAAATGCTTATTATTCTGCAAAATAGCAACAAAAACGTTTAGTTTTTGAAATCAATTCCGACTTCAAATTCGATTTGGCACTTTCGAGAATAAACCTATTAAACGAATCAATATTTGTTTTCTAGATACCGTCTACTGACTGTTCAATGCGATTATTTTTCATATGTACTAATGAACTGTGAAGATAGATCAAGGACAAAGGCAATTGTAAAGTTTTGACTACAAAACGGAATAGAAGGTAGGATTGTAGAGAAACACTCTCGGTTCCTTAAAAACAAAAAGAATTATCATTGATGACAATGGGTTACAGGTTTTTTTTCATACTGAACTTTATAAATCAAAAGTTTTTCTGAATCAGCTGATAACAACTAGAGTCCATTGGCTCTAATATTGTCGTATCCGTGAAAAGACTATGATCATCGAATTGATGATGTAGAGTTATCAGCGACACTAATTCGTGCGATTGAACTCATGTTTTAAGTAATGGGAGATTATGGAGTCAGCAGCCATGGCATTTGAAAAATATTAAGAATTAGATGTGACTTTGACAGAAAAAAAGATAGTACATAGTCCTATGCTTAACAAAAATACAATTTATGACAATTCTTTGTTTTATCTCCAGTACGTATGATAGATAAGATTGGATAGGATAGAGACTTTTGTCTATTACTATATACTCCGTGAATTAAAAATGTGTACTCTGTTTTTTAATAAGAAATATAAAAATTTAAATTAAAAAACTAACCCTTGTATCAATTTTATCTAATCCTTCAATAATTTCTGTCCAACATTCATTTAATTTATATAAAAGTTTTTCTTCCATTTTTCTTAAATCAGTTTTTATTGTTGACATTTCATTTTGATGTAAATCAGTTAAATCAGTTAATTCATTATTTAAACGTTCATTTCGTTCATTTTGAGAATTATTTATTGATAATAATAAATCCATTTGTTTTTGCATTTCAATCATTTTTGTATCATAACGATCGATTGTTTTCTGCATAGATTCAATTTTTGCTGTTAATTGATGATGCTCAGTTATTGCCTAATTTTATATATATATAAGAATAAAATCAGATTAGGCTAAAAACAAGTTTATTTATTTACTATAGTATTTCGTTTTGATGTTGTACAACTAGCAAATCGATCATCATTTGAATGATCTGATATTTGATCATAGAATTCAATATTTGAATCATCACTAAAATAATAAACATAAAAATTTTTTTTTTCGTTCAACATTTTTTCTTTTACGTTAAACGTCGTTTTGTTGAAGGTGATCGATCAATGTCATGAATGGCAGATATGTCAGCTAGAATTAAAAAAGAAGTTTAATAGCAAATATTTTAACTACTCTATGGCATCAAAAGAATTTCTAGTATAAACGACATGTATGCTGCTTTAGCCTTGTCATCAGTTGACGTTCTTTCTAGCTTCTGGGGGTTTTTTTTTTTGATTGATCAATGAAGATTCTTTTTAATCTTGAAGTCAAGACAAATAGCACGTGATGTCTATGTATACATATAGGAATGTCTGAACATTAGTTATTTATTTCTGCACGACCTAAAGACGGCAAACTAAAAAAGATACGAATTTTTATGGGATGTGCTTTTTTTTTTTTGTTGTATTTATCTTTTAGTTTTACATAAATTTTACTGCAAGTTTATAGTAAATATAAAATAGTAACGACAGAATATCATCATGTCGGACTATAAAGAGGCTACGTCTGACTCATAGAGATCAGACAGAAGTTTCAAGGCGAAAAAAAGAATTTTACTGGCGCGACAGCTCTTGTCTAACCAGCCAAGATTCGATTTACATACATAGATTTTCTCAGAAAGTGAAGAATCTCGATCAGACTATAGTTGATTTCCAAGAATTATATCTACAACAGGTCTCAATGCACTATTATTTATTCCAATAAGTTCAGAGACTCTGATATTGAGCAGTTTACGTTTTTTATGTTGATCACATGACGATTGTGGTCAATCGATGACCTTGATATATTCGATATAGATTTTTATCTGATCCAAAATACAATAAAATTCATTATCTTTTTCTTCCCAAAACATAATGTGAGTTCCGCGAAATTTGGTTTCTCCTTCATATATGATAAGTGCTTACTCGTAATGATAGACTCACTTTTTTTATTTCATACATCACTATGAGAAACAAGATCGTTTTCAATACAAATTTGTTTATATCATTTTATTTTTATTATCAAAAACGATAATTGATAAAGAAATAGTATAAGACAATTGAACTAACTCACTCAAGATAAGTATCTGTATAATTTTCGTATCATATAAAACGAAACTATTCACATAATACAATTCATGAGATGGCAAATCTACATAATGGATTAGTGGCTACGTTGTTCAGCACGTAACCAATAGATACTGTGCTAAAATCTCGGTATTATCAGGCAAGAAATGACTCTGGACAGGTCACTAACGATTATTTGTCTCTGGTTACCCGTCCGATAACATGTTGGCTAAGTTGTGACGTACATGCGCTCTCATGATTAGTACGTATTTGTAGGGAAGATATCGGGCTGGTAAATGTGCCGCTACGCAACACTCTATGCCGCAATTCAAGGGTATTTTTTCTTTGTATGACACTTTCTTTTCTGTACGTTCATTCAATACGCCCGAATCTGTTGCATATGTCAAGCTTGAAAGTTGAATTCAATTACTCAAGAATTAAAAAAAAAATGTCCGTATAACATTAACCTTCTATATTTGTGTCGCGACGTGGCAGCACAAAGCATCCCTCGAGGGATTGCAGTTCATACTCGTCTCTATGTACATAGTAAAGTCTATCCTCATTTTATGCTTTGACGTTACTGAAGAGAACGTAAATCTAAACGTATTAAGAGAGTTTGAACATTTTTATTTTATCGTGTGTGATCGAAACGATAAATTGAAAGGATTCTATACAATAACATTTCTCATTTTTAGTCTTTGATTTTTTTTTTCGTTCAAAATCAGAGATTAAATAAAAACTGGTAATTGTTTTAGCTTTACTATAACTTCATAGAATTTTATATTTCAACACTATGCAAATGCCTTATTTATATATATCATATTGAATTCTACTTACAGTTTGAATTAACATTAAATTGTGAAGTTCCTATTTCATTCGATAATGAACTTGATGGAGATGATCGTTTAGTTTCAAATGCACTACTATTGTGTGAAAATGATAAAAAACCTTGATTATTATTCATAATTTCTATATTATGATTAGTTAATGTTGATGGAAGATTTAATTGATTATGATGATTATCGAATTCTTGATAATTTGAAGATATAACTTGTTCATTTGCAACCGGTGTTGATACAATATTTGCTGAACGATTTTTATAGGTTCCATTTGAAACTTTATTTTTAATATTATGGAAAATATCTTTTGATGATCTATAATGTTGTGGTATATCTCCAGCTTGTATACGTGTTATATCAGATTGATATTTAGCAATTTTTTTTTCTAATTGTTTTTTTGCTTCTTGTAATGTACGTATACGTTTTTCAAATGTTGCAATTGTTGTTTTTGATGAATTTGATTCATTAATAAGACTAGGCATAGTTGTAGCACGAAGAAATTCTGAAATACTTTGTTCAATACTATGTTGTGCTAATCGATGAAGATGTTGAGCTTTGTCTAATTTAGCTTCAGCTTTAGATAAAGTAGTTTGTTTTTTACGTTCATATGGATCAAGATCTGACGTTGATAAGTTATTTTTAAGTAATGAATTTGATGGAGGTGAATTATTTGATGAATTTATATCATTATCTTCATTTATATTGTTTAACTAAAATAGGAGAAAAGATTTTAGAAAAAAAGAAGACAAACAAATAATTTTGAGTCTTTTTATTTACACTATCTGACAAAGAACTGATTTGATGTTCAGGAAAATTAGATGCTTGAAAATGATTATTAGTCATTTTTACTCGATCAGGTAACAAATGCGAATCAACAACATTCGATGACAAAAATGTTACAGCTGTAGAAGGTACTTGATTAAACTTGGTATCATTCATAGTAAATGATGTTGTAGTATAAGAAAGATCAATAGGTAATACTTGATTCGTAGTTGTAATTGGTTGTGGTTCTGGACTTATTCGTGTGTATTTTGATCGTCTAAATGAAATCATTAATGATTTGAAGCAAAATAAGATATGGCTAAAACATGAATTTTTTTTTTTTTTAAAGTGATTCTAATAGAATTTCTCGTTAGTTTTATACTCCCGGCGAGGTAAAGATTAGTGCGAGAAATAATGAAAAAAAATTGATTTCTTCATTCACATACCTATAAATGAGTGCGCTTTTTAGAAAATGCCTTGAGAACTAGGTAATTAGCTTTCTTTTTCTTTTCAACAAATCTAAACGAAAGAATTCCGGTCGTTTTTTTTATACTCTTGGTTGCACCTTGTATTTAAATCAATATGAAAATTTTTCGTTCTGTTATAAACTCGGAACTTTTTCCCATTATCTCAAGTGACTAATGCAATCGGTCGTAAAAAAAAGAACCGTACAGCTGTCACAATCCATAGTGGAAACAATCACAATGACGAAAGAAAAAGGAGTACATCAGAAGATGAAAAACAAATGACGACTTGAATGAAGAATGTAAATAAATATATATTTTAACATTTTCTATTGAAGAACATATACTTTTAAAACTTGAATAAAATCCATAGAAATGCATTGAAACCAAAAATATGCAAAAGAGAGAATTGAACATCAAAATATATTATTGAAAAAATCATCGTGTATAGCATGCAATGCAAAGATCTTTAGAAAAATATCAAACTCTAATTAACTATATTATCAACTTTTAAACCAATGAAATTTTTCTGTTAGAACGAATAAAGTCTGAATTATAAATTTTGTACTAGATCCATTTTTCCATAATGAATCTAAGAAGAAGAAAATACCGAAAAAAAAAAGTTTCATACAACTTCAACATCATTGTCTATTTAATGTTAAATTTTTTATATTAGAACTGAAATGAAAAAAGACATTTAATGCTGATTTTTTTAGTGTAAAGAATGTTCTTTTTCAATAATGTACAGCAAGTAAATTTATTTTTGATTTGTATACCAAAAATAAATATATTTTTTTCTAAATAAAACTGTATAATTTTTTCGGTTTTACTATCTGATCGTTTTGTAATAATAAAATACATTTTTTTTGGTATTGTTTTTTCTTCTGCTGAACTTCTATGTTATGACATATTGCAAACAAATAGGGCACGAAGAATTGAGTTCATGTATGGCTTCTGGAGATTGTGGTTGGTTTACTTCGAAATTGATCATGCTTGCTAAAGATTCATCAATGCTAATAGTGGCAGAGCTTTTGATAAGCTATATTTTGGTATATTATTTTTTTTTTTGTTCATGTAACTCAAAATGATTGAGAAATAGGAAGTTTTCAAATTGGAGGAACTTTTTAGAAGTGTTTTATTTTTTTTTTCTTTCTAAATTCGTGCTAGAAAAATATGTTTGGATACAAAATTTATAATTCAGACTTGACTCTTTCCAACAAAAAACAAAAATTTCCTTCGTTTAGAAGTTATCAGCATGATTTAATAGAGTTTGACATTTTTCCAAAGACTTTTGCATTTCATATTATATTTCGTGCTGTGATCACGCTGATTTTTCATAAAGGAAAAAACCAAAGCTCTCAGTTAGATTACATTGTGACTACAGAAACTCAGCATGAAAATTACTAATTCATAACGAAAGCCGTCAGTTTTTATCATAGATCAAATACACATTAAATGTCTCACAGAAAAAAAAAGGGCATAAATTTTAATATATTCTTACCTATTTTGTGTAGTTAAACATAAAGGATTGTTAATAATATGAATTTGTTTGTTTGTCTGTTCGATATCATTCATAATTATTCGACATAAAGAAAAATCTATAACAAAAGAAAAAAAAAAGAACACAAAAGATGAAAATAAATGTCCTAGATGTCTGTGTTTTTTACACACACACATCCAAAAAACAAACGGCATAAATAATTAAAAAAAAAAATTAATAATGGCATTTATTTTTAAACTACATTGTGCTTCTGTTCTATGTCAAATAAAATATTACCCCATTTTCTTACCGATCTTTATAATTAAAACTCTTTTATATAAACATTATTTTCATATGACTGAACACATATAAAAGACAAGCCAAACATACTATATAACAGTTTCATTCATGTACTGCTTACCCTTGAAAAATGATCAAAGCAAATTATTCAGTCTACTTACAAACTCATGCATGAAAAACAAAAATGAGAATTGACGAAAGAAAGAAGAAAAAAAAAGAATAATTATCTCTTGACATCATTTCCTTTTCATTATAGATGAATTATAAACAAGAAAAAAAAAAACAAAGAATATTGCCTTTCTTTTGTTGTTTTTTTTGCTTATCATATTAAATCTAAAAAATAGCAGAAAACAAAGAAAATTTGTTATTTTACGTGTTCGTCAATTGAGAAAAGTCATTTTAAATATAAAACAAAAATATTAATTATTTGCATTTAATGAAAGATTCGTTAATAATGTATCTTCATCATCAGAATGATGATTTTGCGTGTCATCTTCACCACCAATAAGTACAGGTCGAAGTCGTGATGATGGTGGAACTTCATCGTCATCCTCATCACTACTCCATGATGTTACATGATGTTCTTCATTATTATTGTTGTTATTATTATTTGTTCGCCAAGTTGTTGTATTTGAATTACCAAAACCATCGGCTGGTTGTCGAATCGCTATTCGATTCGTATCATCTTGCGGAAGAAGTACAGGTGAAGCAACAACAGGTGATGATGTTGGTTCTTCACCGTCAGCATTTGATCGAGATCTAATTACAACAGTTTGATCCGATGAAGAAGAATTTGCAATTATCGATGGAACGGATGAAGCTAAAGATGGTACAACAGGTGCATCGGTAATTGGTGGATTGTATTGAGTATTTCTAAAAGTAATATCTTTGATAGGATATTCTTTTTTTTTTAAGAAAGAAACTCAAAATCGAACCTTTGTCGATCAAGTTTTAATCCTCCAACACCTTTTTTTGGTGCAGACATTAGATCATATTTTATTCTTCGTCGACGTTGTGTATCATTTAAACGATATTGATGCATATTTTCAAAATCAATAACATAAAGATGACCAACAATAAGTATTTCTAATCGTCTATCACCACGTCTAAATGATTGATCTATTTCATCATTTGTTCGTTGATCATACATCCACCAACCATTACGACCTTCATAATACCTTAAAACAGAGAGTTTTATTACTTTCTTTTTGTCGATCAAATAAACTAATTGTTGTGACGTTCTTCACAGACTATTTCCGTTCATCTTATTTTTCAAATAATTTTAACCAAGGAAGTACTTCAACTGTAATTCGCCGTTTGAGCTCATATTGGCAAGTGCATCTTGTTTATCATTTTAGTCGGAAACAATAAAAAAAAAAAAAACTGTTCACACTTTCCGGGTTCGTTTCGATTTCCGTCTTTTTCAGTAGCATCAAAACATAAAATTAGGATAGATTTTACTGTGTACATACAGAGACGAGTATAGATCATAGTTTTTCGAAGGACACTAACTATTCAACTACCTGACGCAAATATAAAAATTTAGTCATGTGGGCAAGTGTTTTTTAATTCTTGAGTAATGGAATAGTTGTATAGACAAGAAAATGTGATAGATAAAGTATGATTTTATAATATTGGACCCACGGGGAAGTTCCAGTACACCTCTAGAAAACCGAAAACGACTCATCCCTATGAATGTTCGATACATTCTTAGGTGTTTACTTGAAACTCAAATAAGGAAATTTCGATCTGAAATATTGCTCATAGATAAGTTTAATGAACGCGAGAATATTTTGATAGTTTCACCCGAAAAGAATGTTTCTTTGTTGCGATATCAAATTTTCATGTAAATTCAATTATCGTAACATGTCTATGACAAACGACATTATTTAGGAAATTTAATAACTCGAGAAAAAAAAAACATTCTTTTCGACTGAAAATTTCCGGATATTCTAATATTCATAAGATTCATATATGGGCAAAAGTTCTGATAGAAAAATCATCAAAATAATAGTCATAAGTCAGCTCTCAAAGTCCATCAAAATGAATGGCTTTAGGCTTTTTAAACCTTTTTGAAATTTCTTTGCAGGGTCAGTATGAATTTAAAGGGCGTATTACTTTTGGAATAGTTTCCTCGTAAGCTAATGTTTAAAATGTAGATATTTTTAATAGCTTCCATGAAATATTAATATATAGCACATACTTAGAAAACCATGAATAATCGAAAAACTTACCATAACTATTAAGCTTACAATGTTAAGTAAAGTATGAAATCAATAGATATGCTATGAACATGTAATGATGACTTGTACTAGATCTTACGAGCATGAAAACGCTTGAATAATAATAATAACATATAAAAAAAATCGTATAAATACGAACTGATCTATTTGAATGGTGATTCTTTCTAATTTTATAAACCGATGAATAATATCTGTTTCTACGTGAATAATTTTTTCTGCTTCCTTTAGAATAAACCTCAGCATGTGACAAAAAAGTGACTGTCTTACCATACATGACGATGTGTTGACGTTATTGATGAGAGTGATTCATCATCACGTAGTTCTAATGCTAATACATTAGGTTTATCGATTAATTCACGTGGAAATGGTTTTCTAAGAATAAAAAAAAAAATTTCATAAAAAAAAATCCTTTTTATTTATAAATTATACCGGCAAAGAGCACAGTTATGGCTAACATTAGCTACACCTTTGACACACAGAAAACAAAAGGAATGTCCACAAGGTAATTTAACTGGATTAATAAATGGTTGTAAGCATACACTGCATTCAAGTGAACGAAGTGAATTAACATTCATAATAATAATTGATATTCAGATATTTCTTTTTATGTTGGCATATGTTCGATTGATTTTGCTATAAAAGAAATTTAACATTCTGTTGATTTTTATTGATCAAATTTTGAGCAGTAGGGAAAATACGATCTATACACTGACATCTATGAATAATCTTGACATATATAAAGAAAATTAATTTCAAAGAAAAAGAAAAGAAATTTCGAAAGAATTAATTTTTATTAAATTAATTGTTATTGTAAATGTAATTTTTAAAAAAATATTATAGATTTAAATCCATAGTAATGATCCTTTTAATGGCAATGATTCTGAAGTAAATCCGATTGATACATTATTTTGAGTAATGTATCTATCTCAACAACCATTTCAATGGTCAGCTCAGTTTGGTCCATCTCTAACAAATAGTTATGATGAACGACATCGTTATGATAGAGAAACAAAAAATACAGAAGGCATGTATGATATTATTTTATATAGAATTTATTAATAATTAATTTTCAGGGCCATCTCTTTTACGAAGTCCAATTCCACCAGATCCTGGCTATGGAAATGATACACGTGTGCCCAGGTATCAATTTCTAATATAAACTTAAGATATATAATTCAAGTTTTCTTTTTATTCTCGTCTAGTGACGCATATCATGGTAATCGTCCCGTACGTCTTCATGGTTCTGATGCTAAAACAATTTATAAGCGAGCAATTGCTAGTGCTGGTGCTCCATTTTATCTTGATGTTCAATGTTCAAAAAATTTTCATAAACCACCAAAAAATCATTTGAATGAAAATTTAAAACGAATTCGACGTATAATGCGAGAAACACAACAACGACAAAAAACTAAAGAACAACCCGAACAAACACCAATGAAAGCACTTTGGCATTCAAAACAATATGATCATGTACAATCAAAAGTGAAACAAAAACTTGAAGAAGTAAGTATTAGAAATAATTAATTACATGAAAATGAACATTGCTTTGACCATTAAAAATTAATCGTTTCAGAATTTTGTTTCGTTTGTTAGAAGGAAATAAAATATTATTCATGTTATGTAGGATACTCAACGCTCATTATCTCGACCACAATCAGCTCAAGGAAACTTTCTTCATGCGCATGGAAATACTGGACCACAATATCTACGATCTCAATCTGCTTGTAATTCTCGGCGAGCTTCTGTTGGCTCATCAGTTAATATGGTAGGATTGAAAGTTTGTTTGATAGAGGAATGAGGAATCTGCTTGTTGGTTAAATCAGCACTCGCAGAAAAATGCCACCTATGGGAAAAAGTTATAGAAAAGTTATCTGATTTTAAGAGTACCGCCTCCCTCTCTCTCTTTTTCGATATATCTTGAGCGTGACTCATCAGAAGAATATTGAAATTTTCACGACAGATAGATCTTGACGACTAGAGCAAAAGTTGTCATATACACGAAGTTCTCGAATGTTGTCTTCTATGAAATATTGGCATCACAGTGATAAAAAATGGTTTCAGTTGTCGCGCTCATTTCTTCGAGATGATATGTTTGATCGAGTTGAAAGTTCTTTTTGCAAGCACTTAGTTTTTTGTACTAGCTACCCAAAATCAGCAGAACGATTTTTTTTAAACAAAAAGTATCCATCCAAAATAGTCTCTAGTATATGTGAAAAACTACTCAGCTTCACTGGGCATCCTAAACTAGTAAATTTTCTTTCGGCTTTTTTAATATTTAAATACAAATTTTGGATTAAAAAACGTACTCGATAGATAGATACTATTTCAGACTATACAATGGCCACAACAAAAAAAATGATAAAAATTTTGACCCATAAAAGGGAGGATAGCCTTAAATATTGGTATAGTATCAATAAATAGATGATACTCCATCGCATATGTTTGTTGATCAGAAAAGTTTATCATGATGCTCTAGTTAGTTAATGTGTATGGAGTGCTTAAGCAATTAAACACAAGAACTCTGTAAATTACTTTTTTCTATAGGCAACAACACAAGCAGATAATAAAACAAAACCTGATTATGTAAAAATAAACTCTCAATATGTTAAAACTATTCCAAAAGTACGTAAAACAGTTGGTGAAGAAGCTGTTGAACAGACTCGAGAAAAACGTGAAAAAGAAATGAAAGCTTATCAAGAAAAACAAAAAGGACGTGTACCAAATTAGTAAGTATTATTTTTACCCAAAAAATTCATTTTTTTTGCTTTAAAAATAAATCTTCAATAGCATTGAAAAAATTAAAGAAAAACGAGATGAAGATCTTTATCAAGCACGTATTAATGCACCTGATCCTGATTGTCCTCCGGGTCATGTTAAAGTTGATAATAATCAACGTATGTCTACTTTATCACAACTTCAATCGAGTAAGTCTAATTAATTAATTGAATGATTCATTCTAGTTTTTTTTTTCTTGATGTTTTTATTAGATCGAACTGAACTTGAAAAGAAACTTTGTCATTTACCAATTCGTAATGATTCCGTTACACTTCGACGAACAAAAGAAGACATTGAAAAGAAAATTGTCGAATTAGATGAAGCAATTCAGATCTTTTCAAAACCAAAAGTATTTATTAAAATGGATGAATAAACACTAGAAAATTTCGTTCGTTTTTTTCTTTTTGTAATTTCTTTATGTGGGTAATGTACGATATTGAGATTGTCATTTTACTATTATTTAATTTATTCATAAAATGATAAATAAAATGGGTTTTTCAGACAAAACTAATAACATACAACAGAAAAACAATCGGATTAATTTTGACAAATTTACACTATTGTCATTCAATCGGAGACGTTATTAATTGATACGCACGATCGTACTTATTTAGTATGGCTACAAATACACGCATACTTATAGCTTCAGTCTTAAAGTATGTTTATTAATTCATACTTTTTTTTTCATATATTTAAAGCGAGAAGACCTCCTTGTCTCGACGGAAACAGGAAATTAGAACTGATGACTAGCTATTATATGTGCTTTATAAAGAAAACTCGTTAATTCATTCATCAATTCGACACTTATCCATTACTATTGTATGATGGTAACGTTAATAGAATGAAATTCTCGTTCTTTTTTTCTCTCTTCTATATGTCCTGTCTTCGTTTATGTGCAATGCTTTTTCTTTCTATTCTTACTATATAGAAAAGTAATGAAAATCTCAGACTTTTTTTTTTTTCTCCTATTATATTCTATGTTTCGGTGGATCAGCTCAATTGTCTAACTGTACACATACCTGTAGACTATTCATCATAATTTTAAATGTTTAATAGATAGATGAATAATGGTGAACAGATGGTAACGTACCCACCACTTGCCAAATTATTATACAGAAAAAGCAAAAGGAAAAAAAAAAGTAAGTAGTAGAAAAAGTGAAATCTCATACTTGGTCGCTTCTCATATGTCAGTATCTAATTTTGTAATTGAAGAAAAAATATTTCATTTACTTAGTTCATTCATTTATATGATGGTTTATTTACGATTTCATTTACTAATATTAGTACCTTTTTGGTTGTTGATTATTATTAATTTAATATTTCTAATGTTTTTTTGTCAACTAATATCATCATCTTCAAAATTCAATGATCAAGCATTGACGATTGTAAAATCTATTGATAATTATCTTTGTCAAAATTATGTATTTACTTGTTTTTTTCGTCAACGATATCATCAATCATATGTTCAACAACAATACAATAATTGTAAATCATTTTTAATTCTACGTTCATGTCTTTACTATGATAAAGATTCAATACATATGTGTCATCAAACTACACTTAATCAAGCTAAATTAAGTCTTGTTAATATAACACCAATGTATTGTTTGACTTCACCTATATATAAAACTTTATATATGCAACATTTACCTTCAAGAGCACTGCTTAAAACGACTATCAACTGGCAAATATTCATCTCGTTCTTTTCACTGTTCATCTTATTTGTCATTAAGATGAACATGTGTTGTTAACACAATAGATTTTTTGTGAATATGATGACATGTGTTACCATTTTATTAAAAAGAAAATGAAAAAATAATTTACATAGGTGATAGACATATGAATGTCTCTTTCATTTATTCATTCCAGAGTAAGAACATTGCCTGTTGTGTCAAGTAACATTCAGAAAATTGACTGCTAATGAATTTCGTGCATGTTCTTTATCTTTTGATCAAGTGATAACAACAATAGTATAGAATAGAACGAGATTGTGTTAAATAGGAACTTTTTTCTCCTTGTTCTTTCTTTCATTCATGTACGCATCATATCGATTAAGTTCGTCTATGACAACTAAAAATCTCTAGTGATATAACGTATGAATATGTTTTTTTTTTTCGATGATTGATTGCTGAATAGAGATTTTTTTTTTGTTAAAAATGACTTGTCGAAAAGAGTTATACATTGAAAAGAAAAAATTCTATGGTTATGGTTTAGACTTGAATCAATTGTCATATTTACTAAATTTCATTTTGTTTTTGTTGTCATCATAAATAAAAAATGTATGATTTATGTTTCGAGTAGTTTTAATGTTTGTTTGCCATCAATTTCTTCCATTTCTTTAAGAAGTAAGGCTGTATTATAACGAAGTTCATTAAATCTTTTCATTGGAACCTGAAAAATAAAAGAAATTATATCTAAAAATTACAGTCTGGGATAATCGTTGCCGTCTTCTATGAACTTCTACGATTCTTTATGATGTTGAACTTGTATGTTAGGTGTATGCATGTGACAATAAACACCAATCGCAAGCATCAATCCGTATTTTATCTACTCATGTGTACTGAACTTATAACCATTATATCTTTACTCCCTTGTGGAAAAAATATTCAGTAGATATGTACACTCATTAAGTTTTTGTTGGTCATTTTGATATGTTAACTTTATTATTACTACAGTTCGTGATACATACTCAAGATCTTAGTGATAATCATGCATTGAGATAGTGAATCTCAGTCGTAGCATTAAGTTGACCTTTTGTAGTGCTGCAGCTCTAAAGCTTTCATAACAGATATTTTTAATGAGTAGACAATATTACAGTTATTTTAAAGTGATTTTTTTTACAAAATTCAAACTAGAGATAGCCACAACATTGACCTTTCGAATGGAGAAGTGGATGAAAATATTTGTACCAGCATGGTTGAGATAAGATAATCACAAGAGAAATATTATGCCTACATCATTATTTCGGTATATATGAACGAATGACGAGTTGGTTGATGCTTTCGATCAGGGTTAATTATCGCACACATGTATCCATATTATCAACTGAATATCAAAAAGAATAGTAGGATTCATCAATGCCGCTACTTTTGTCCCGAACTGTACATATATTCTTATTTTTACTTCAAATGTTAAAACTCGATTCTCATTTGTACGAAGTTGAAAGAATAATAGTGGTTCAATACAACGTGATAAAGATCTAAAATCAAAAATTTAATTTAGAAAGTGGATATATATATATAAGTGCTTACGCTGTAGTTAACGTAACATCAAGATTCCAATCAAATGATTTTAGTAATGGAAGACGGGGACGATCACGGTCGTGAAAAACATGATAGAGTTGATCACGCCTATGAATATGAAATAAAGACGACTATAAACTATTGTATTTATGAGTATCGAAACATACTTTTTACCAAAGAGAATATTGTGAAATGCTTCAATAATTTGTTCAGAAAATCTAAAAAATAAAATGATTTACAGAGAATTTACATTACTTCTTTTTTTGATAAAGTTACTAAGTTTCAATACACTTACTTTAAATCACGTAGATCATCTTTAAATATCTAAATACAAAACAAGAAAACCATTTTTCTTTCTTTGAATAGAAATTAATTACATCTGGTTTAAGAAATGCTGCTGGTGGTTTTAATGCTAAACGAATGACTTGAACGAAACCATTAAAAATAATGATTAGTTGTTCAATAGAAATAGAATAATCTTTTGAAAATTTCATCAAAACTTCAATAGATGATGATGGTTTTTCATTTAAAAGTTGAGTTTCACTCACTATACAATTGAAATAACCAATGATATTAGAAATAACCAAAAAAGAAATTTTTCTTACTAGAAATAAGTTCTTGAATGACTTTAAATGGTAATGAACTACATTCTTTAAGTGTTTGAACACATAGAGATATTGCTTTAGGTACAGTCCATCCATAAAATGGATCTTGATAAGAATGATGATCTGGCATTTGAATAAAAATAAATAATATATCTATTAAATTATTACTGATAATTTCTGATGAGAAGAAAATCAGCGAAAGAGAAGAACGATAGACAGATGGAGCTATTAGATACAATGGGAAATCAAAACTCTGACTTGAGCTTCATGAATTCTCTTCTTCGTTATTAAATATCTTAAAAACTAACCATTTCGATTGCGTTTGTTTACAATTAAAAATTCGATACCAATCATAGTCATGATTATCGACATTATATCGATGGCTTTTCCTGATTCGAAGTATATTAAGTGTAGAGTTTTCTCATCAATGAACTAGTTATTTCTGTAAATTGTTTGACTTATGAAGTTTTGCATAAAGATTAGATAAAATCCATTTTAGTAAAGCGAATACTTTTTAGGGATATCTATGTTTCATCGGATATTTCTCTATTATTTTAGTGCGCAAAGTTTTTGTTTTTATACCATGAGAAAGAAGATCTATTTCTGTATCTACTCAAATAAACAAAAGATTTTTAGCTACTGCAATAATTGAGTAGTTAATGATATAAAATAAGATTTCTCAATCGTTGGCTTTACTACCATGAGAGTTAAAGCGACCGCTCAAGCAGAGTACTATCCTAGTCGAACATCTTGTAAGCAAGATCTTGGCCAAGATCTTAGGTACAGAAATGTAAACAGATCTTGGAAATTTAGGTACAAGATAATA